CAAAAACTTTTGGTTTTTATTTAATTTGGATTACATTAATGTTATAAATTGAGATTTACAATAGATATTTTAACTGCTACTATGTAAAAGGAATACTGCTGTAAAAAAGCACCTTATTTGTTTGCAAACCAATTGTTATTGCACTTTTGTTCATATAGCAGAACTTTGAAATTAAAAAAGTGCACAATACCATCTTTTTCCTTTATTTAAACTGTTTTTGTTTTCTTTTTCAGAAATTCTTCCAGATTGTCAGCTTAATGTTGGACATTGAAAACCTTGAGAAGTGGGAAGATGCTCACCAGGTAAAATGTCCTTTCTCACCCCTGGCAAGACACCTGCAAATATCCGACCAAAGAACAGAACTGTTCATATCTGTGCCATTTTAATTTCCCCTCAGAAAGAGCTGTGTCATCAAAGCCAAGTCTGATCTCACAGATTAACAACAGATGTAATCAGACTGGCTTTGGATGTAATAGAAGCCGACTGTGAAGTGTGTTGGGAAAGAGATGTGCTGTTAGAGCTGCCTCTTTGCATTACACCGCTCCATTAGACACTGTTTGACTTTAGATTCTGTGCAGTGAGGTCCATGGTGACTTCGATGTCAAGCCAGGCCATGTCTGTATGGTAATAAACTTTCCTCAACTCATCCATCCATGAAGACTTTTTTTTTTTTGGTGAAGACCCACTTATGCCCTGAGGCCTGAACTAACTGCAGGAGATCATATTCTGACTCACTCAAGAGCATACACGTTTTCTGGTAATGTCAAATAACTGACAATTTATGGCATGGTTACGCTTTACAGTCCAGAGTTTTAGTGTGCATCATGTCAGGATTGCCAAATACATACATTCTTGTTTCAATCTTTATGGGTGGAAGAGCAAAAGATGCTTAAGTCTTATTGTATGTGCCAATTTGTAGTTGAGCTTGCTATGGCAAGCATATTATTATTGCTCAAATTTAGAGGTAGGGATTTGAACAAACCCATCACATGTAACTGTTTGTGCTATGTACACGTTTGATTCCTTAAGTCGTGTGACTTGAGGAGAGGTGTGCTATTACTTTAAGTGATGAGATAAAAACAGACAGTGTCCCATAAACTTATGCTACTGTTCAAAGGTTTAGGGTGAGTATGACTGGTTGATTGATTGATTGGTTGGTTGGTTGGTTGGTTGGTTGGTTTGTTGGTTGGTTGATTGATTAATTTATTTATTTATTGATTGATTGGTTGATTTATTGATTGAAATGAACACTTCTTTTTTTTGCAAGGACACATTAAATTTATCAAGAGTTCAGCATTTCAGCATTTTTGAATGATTTGTGAAGGATCATGTGACACTGAAGACTGGAGTAACGGCTGCTGAACATTCAGCTTTGCCATCACAGGAATAAATTACATTTTTAAATATGTTAAAATAGAAAACGGTTATTTAAAATTGGAATAATGTTTCACAATATTACTGTCCCTTTGAGCTAAATTGACCTGTTTCCCTTACACCAATGTAAAACTACAAGTGAGCCATTTATACAACAATGACAGATGGAAAAAAGGTGGTGAAAGTTTGAAAATTATGCAAATTGTTTTTTTCAAAACTTTTTACTTCTATATATTTGACCAAAATGTGACTTATGTGACAATGAAAAAAGGATATTAGGGCAGAACTTGACTTTAATTTGTTTATATACACTACCATTTAAAAGTTTGGGGTAGGATGTTTAAGATATTTAAAAAATATATTATATTATTATTAGTAGTAGTAGTACTTAGTACTGTTTCCTGTTGTAAAATGGCAAAGCTAAATTTACAAGCTGAATTGCAGCTCAAGAAACATCTCTTATTATTATCATCAGTGTTTATATTTTTTGTGGAAACCGTGATGCATTTTTTTTCCAGGATTCTTTGATGAAAATAAATAAATAGAATATAAATATTTTGGAGCATTGTACTTTTTTTTTTACTTTAATGCCACTTTTAATCAATTTATTGCATCCTTGCTGAGTTAAAAAAAATAAATAAAAAATCAGCAGTAATATACTGTATACAGTATCTGGGACTGATTGGATAGTGAAAATGGGCACTACATACCAGTGCAAGTTTGCTTAAACAACCTCTATTTAACTACAGCATTTAGCACTTGACAATATCATCCAATAGCCTGTGACAGCTGAAACTCAAGTTGTAACATTTTGATTCAAGTTTACAATTTTTTTTTCCTCATTCAAACAACTTACACCAATTAACCAATCACAGTAAGAGCAGGAGCATGAAGGAAAGTAAATAGGGACAATATTGAATTAATTTGTATGTGTGTTCAGTATATGTGTGTTCTTGTGTTTGCGATTGCCTTAGCCTTGTTGCCCTTCAGTAACAGCGCTTTGCCACACCATCTGGACTGGTGGACAAATTGGACAAATAACAAGAGCTATTAATAGCAGAGAAAGTTTTAGCTAACATACTGAATAAATATAAATCCAAGCATAAAGGCTTCATGAATTACACATGATAATACAAGCACTGTATCTTTACTTGGAGTAACATATACAATTTGTGTCTGGTCTACGTAGCATCTCAACGCTCGGACGGGACAGAGCAAAGCTAGGGCAGGGTCTGCCTCCTCCAGGGGCAGCGCTTGCAGGCTCACCACCTGATCCCTGAAGGGAGCACATAGCCGGGCCGGGCTGACGATTACCTGGGAGTCAGCCGGCCCAAACTCTAGGCACGAATCGCCGACCGAAAATGCGTGCAGGTCCCCTACCCTCTTGATGGAGGCCAGTGCAAGCAGGAGTAGAGTTTTCATTGAAAGAAACTTTAGCTCGACTGACTGCAAAGACTCAAATGGGCCCTGCTGTAGCGTTTTAAGCACCAGAGACTGGTCCCAAGAGGGTACAGAGGAGGGCCTGGGAGGATTTAACCTTCTGGCCCCCCTAAAGAACCTGATGACCAGAAGCATGTCCTACCGCCTTCCCTTCCACGGGGTCGCTCTGTGAGAAGAACACCACTCGACGAACAGGTTCTACTTCAAAGCGTAAGCGTGTCTCGTAGACGGTGCTCTCGCCGAAGTGATGGTGTCAACTAC